GAGTTTTAGCATAAATCATGTATCTGCTATAACCCCAAGATGTATTCATCATGTATTGCCATGAGTCAGTGTCAACTGCTGTAATGCTGATTAACTTAAATAACAAAGGTTAATTCATTCACCTCTCTGTTCAATGAAGTCTGTTTACTCATAGGATACCTGGTCCACCTCCTTCTCCTGCCATGTATGCCAGGGAAGGCTGCTGCAGCTGATGGGGCCTCAACAGATGATTCCTAACATGAACTTCAGGGTCTCAAGGCCTAGCGCCCCCAGGAGCAAATTATTACCCTGATTTCTCCATTATCTTCCTCTTTCAGAGACTCAGAGAATGTGCTGGGCTGCTCCCCAGACAAGCCACAGATGTGGACACCTGGGCCAAGCCAAGAGGAGAGCTTTGTGCTCTGGGTTATATCACTGTGGACAGAGCATGTGTATGTTGCAGGCAGTGATACACTCCAACATCCGCAGCCTCCACCCTGCTGATCTTCAGTGTGAAATCTGTCCCTGGCCCACTGCCACTGAACCTGTCTGGGACTCCAGAGGCCCAGTTGGAAACCAAATAGATCAGGAGCTGTGGAGCCTGGCCTGGGTTCTGCAGGAACAATTTGAAATAGGTGTTTCCTTTACTATGTAGGAGGCTTAGACTAGCCCTGCAGGAGATGGAGACCAGCTCTCCAGGGGTGACGGGGAGGGAGAGGGGAGTCTGGGTCACCACAACATCCCCACTGGTTCCTGAAATAATGAGATAAAAGTGCAATGTTATGCATAAACATNTCTGGAATCTTCTCCGCTCTCACAGATCTAAACATCACATGCCCCTTCCTGGAGGATGAGATGTGCACATTTCACACATGGACAGAACACACATGAGAAGCAGTGAGCCCCGGAGCTCATCCCCCCATCCCACTCTCCTCTTCATCTCTCTTCTGCCCTTACCAGTGATCCAGAGCATCAGCAGCCCCAGGAGCTGAGCAGGGAACCTCATTTTGAGACGTTGAGCTGAGGAGTCATGATAAGTCAGGTCAAGGTTAGAGCTGAGCTTTTATCTCAGACTTGCAAGGGAAGGTCCTCCCTAGGGGACAATATGCAAATCCCCTGGTGGGTGCAGCCCTGTGGAAAGAGCCAAAGGGAGGGTGGGGACTCTTTTGTGAGAAAAATTACTTAAATGCCATCTCTGTTTTTTTTTTTATTTTCAAACATTGTCATACTTTATTTTAAATAAAATAAAACATTACAGAAAAGTTGAAGTACCCTACTCTCCCCTCTCCTGTCCCATCTTCCCTCCCCAGCAGAGTATCTGCTCACTCATGGATTTAGTTTGTTGATCCACATTGTTAAACTCCAATTACATACAGATACATTCATAAACAGCACATAGGATTATATTGTAGGTGTAAAACAATATAAATGGCATATTGTTTTCAAGATCTATCCATGTTTATGTAGTACCTGTAGCTAATTTATTATAATTACCATATGACATTTCATCATAAGAATATATCATACATTTCTTAATCCATTTTCATGGACAGAGGGCTCATTCCCAGTTTTTCATTATAATGAACTCTTGGCTGAAATGAGTCAAAGTGCTCTCATTAGCAATGTATTAAATTTTGGGGGTTTTTTTGGCAGCTAGTTGGTACAAGAATCGAACCCTGGACCAAGGTGTTCTCAGCACCACGCTCTAACCAACTGAGTTAACTGGCCAGCCCATACAGCATATGAAATTCCTT